TTCACCTTCTGTGGTATTTTTGAGTTGTACTCAAAAAGAAAAAAAAAAAAAAGGTAGTTGGGAGAATGACCTGCCACATTTGGAAGTACGAATTTTGGCTTGATTACAGGTTCCCAACCTGAGGCATGTGAAGCTGATGTTTCATTAATTCACTTAAAATCTATTTTCAGAGCTCATACAGGAGTCTGATGTGTTTGGAAATCATTGAGCAAAGCAAGTGTTTTTGGTGATCTCTGCTGCGCTGCAAGGCTAAGCAGAAGGGCACTAAACACCTTTGGAAATGCAGCTGTTCAGTTCAGAATTCTGAAAGGTGCATCCATTGGTCCTTCCAAAGCAGGGTGCACATTTTCCCACAGAAACTTCTGTGTTAAGTAGCCTTTCTCTTCTCCTTCCCAAAAGGGATGGATCTGTGAAAGTAACAGTATTTCCCCAGATCTCTGCTATCAGACAAAGATGGGATAGTTGCATTTAGCTGTTCACCCACAGGCATCCTTTAATAAGTCACAGCAGATGCTACTTGAATTTAGACTGATTCACAATAGTGGCTAGAGTTTAATGAATTAGTCAAAAAAAGCCTAGGTACTGCTTCATGGAGAAGTGCCCTAGAGAACTTTCCCAATTGCTATTTCAGCACCAGATTTGTGTACACGGATTTATCTGTGAAATATATTGTTCCACATCACACACCTGGCTATGGTACAGAACACACAGGTATTTCATCTCATGAGGCAAAACCAGATTTAAAATATTGCTCATCTTGCATGTAACTCTTTAGATCACTAAAACCAGGAATAGTCATTTCCTTTTCCATTATTTATTTAGCTATACATATCATGTATTAAAAAAAAAAATAGTGGTCCATTTCAGCTTCAGACAATGCAGCAGTGTTTACATTGTAATCATTCTGACAGAGAAACAAACAAAAATCTCAATGAAACCAACTTTCAGATAAGGGATTCAAATTACTACTTACAATGACTTTGCAGAGTCCAAGTGCAGACTGTAGATCACCTAATTGCATCTCTTCAATGTTGTACTAAAAGACAGCCACTTGACAGAGCATCATCTCTAACTCTTGCACATGAATGGGTGCGTGTCTCTAGAAGACTGTCAGATCTCTTTTTAATAAAAGAGTAGACAATGCTCACCAGTTCACCTGCCAACTGCTGGCCAGACACTAGAGGGGAAAATGAGGAGAAAGTTTCCATCCCATTCTTGCACTCTTCTGAACCAAAGCAAGAAAAGCCTCATGCTAAGTTAGCAATACACAATCCAACAGGCAGGATACACAATTTTCTCAGCAAAGTGATATGGCTAAACCAAGACTATAGTGACTCAGAATGAAAAATTGCATGTTGCCATGCAAAGCAATCTGAAGTAGCATAAACTTGAACAGTTGGTATGTTTTGGAAAGCTCCGATCGCAATGTCTTGAATGAAATCTTCAGTTTAGAACGTGAAGAAAGTTTGTCTTCCATGAGAAATGAAGCCCCAACACAGTACAACTTCCAGATATATTTGGCATGTGGTTCTGTATTGTGTTACAAGTTAGTTAGAAAATTAACCTTCCCACAAGCCAAAAACACTTGTTAGCAACTAACAGCTTTCCCTTTGTTCATGATAGAGGAACCCTTGGAGTTTACTGCAAAAGCCCTGCACCACAGTTAATACACTGATGAAAATGAAAAGGCCTTAATTGATATGGGGGTGGAGGGAAGTGATACCTTAACTGCGAATTTGTCTCCAGAGTCTTGCCTTTGAAATAGGCTAGGCCACCGGATAACACCATATGATCTCTCGCAGAACTGAACAACCTTATCCTTTTCCCAGTTGAATTTCTGCCCTTTAAAGCGACTGTCTCCAAGAACTGCTTTAATTCATTGGAACTGCAGTAAGCTTCCCAGACTCATAGGTTCTTACATCTTTTTTTTTTTTTTTTTCTCCCCACATGACACAACCCAAACATTGAAGAATTTCAGAATCACTTAATTAGTCATGAAATAAATACTTTAACACCCCCTCCCCCAAACTGAAAAACCACCTCCTTGATAAAACTGCCAGGTGTGAAGAACACTAGTGCTACTTGTAGAAATTACCTGCAGATGTCTCCTCAGAAAATTGGGATAATTTTCTCACTGACTTTATCGAAAAGGAAATGTTCTTTTGCGAGATTAACTTCTATACTTCTGCGTTTGGAAAAGGAAGGGAACCAATTTTTTTTTTCTTTGGAGAAAAGATGCTCCTTAGGAATGCAAGCCATAAATAATGCTGCTTCTAAGTTTTAAAGAGTGGGTTTACTCCATCAGAGCTCTAACAATAGCAGTGGCTTTTGTGACTCAAATCTTAGTACTGCTGAGATATTTGCTTCAGACTGCTGCCTCTTCTTGTTCAGCTGCAGGATTAGCAGCCATAGCAAGACTGCTGCTAACACAGAGTATTTAGCTAGAACACGACAAGAGTGGATCCAGGAGACAGGATCCTTGTCTAACCTATAGTTCCCACTGACTCTTACAATGAGCCACAAGCTGCACAAAGAACAAGACAGACAGACCCTTCCAGTGACTCTAGATCCAGCTATTCTAGATGCAACTATTCATTTTACTCGCACTTTCCTTCCAGCTGCAGTCCACAGGCTGGGGAGGAGGCTTGTTTATTTTTCCTGGCCTTACGCTTTTCTGACACATTCCAGTGGATTAATTGCTGACTCAGTCACAGTTATGCAATTCTGCTGTCTTCAGTAAAGGTGCCTACATATACTTCACTAGGCAAATAATTTTGGCTAGATACTATTCATACTAAAGCCAGAGCAAAATTCAGCTGAATTTATCATTTCTGTGTTACCTCTGCGGTACTGTGAAGATTTTCATTCTAATTATTACCAAAAGCTAGTGGATGCCACCATACAGAGATTTTATAAACATGCTATCAATTTTAACGTAATGTAGCACACCAAAAGTGTAATTCAACAGTATGTGCAAGTTTCAGGTAAAAAGCTATCTTAAAAATTACACTTAGACTATTTTATAGAAAACAGTTTGTCCTCGGTGTACCCTCTATACACCTTGGAATGTAAATCTGGACAGGAATTAATAGCTACTGTTGCTTCAAAGCATTCAGACATCAAAAAAAGAGCATAACGTAATGTTTATTTGCAGCCTTCAATCTCCAAACCAGTCTTCATCACTTCTCATACAGAATGTGCTAGAGCTGCTTTCTATATGCACTCTGCCTAAATTTAATAGATTCACAATTGTATTCATCTAAAGTATTTGTTCAAGACTGCCTACTGCTACAGAACTACTTATTGAATTCTCTGGCCTCTGTACCAGAAATAGGAAGAGAAGCACTGAATGGCCAACTGAAGAGTTATCAAAAAGCCTCAATTCAAGAAACACAAACTCCTAAGAAACAACCATGGAAAGAGGAGCATTGGCTGTAAGATCTTTATTTCTTCCATAAAAGAGGAAGGACTACATCATCTAAGCAGAGCGCTTCCAAATTCTTTTAAACAAGATGGTTCAAAATATATCCACAGTTTTTTAGGGGCAAATAAATAGCCTTGCCTCAAACAGCAACCATAAGGAAAGGCTGTTCAAAACTAGTCACATTTTGCACTCCTTCAGAAGCTGAAAAGAAGGGTGAAAACAAAGCAAAATCCCAGCTTATTCATGTGCTAGGGTGGAAGTATAAAAATGTCAATTATTTAAACACACAGTACTTCTCCAGAAGAACGTCCTTGCAGAAACAAAAGCAATGGCTGTGCTGTATTTTTTCAATGTCACTTTAAAAGCTATACAGTCCTATCTGGATATGCAAAAGCTAATAATGCCAGAGGATAGAGAAAGCAAGTAGGCAGCTCACCGTTCCGTGGCATTAAAAAGTGATTAAATGAAATTCACAAATGGTTTAGTGACATTTCTGATAGACTAATCACATAGCAGTGCTCTAAATAGAGAAACAGACCCATTATCAAAATACTCCCTTCAAAAAACTTGTATCTCAGAGGAGTAGTTAATGTATTTATTGTGTGGAGATAATGGCTTCTCACTTTAGATTTAGAAGAACATGGATGAAAAGAGGGCTTCCCACAGCTGTATGTACTAACAAGTACAAAATTCATTCTTTGCTTTAAGTCTCCATGCTTTGAAACAAAGGAAAACTTAGTGTTGACCCAGTTTATTAGCCCATCTTAAAAATCAGCCTGTATGGTAAAAGAATTCTCTCTTCCTAAATGGCAGAGCATTCAGCTACAGACACTAACCATTCACTTGAAGCAAAACTTATTTCTTTTCTGACAGATTGATTAAAATTGGCCAAGAGAATCACAGCTGAAAGCTCAAATATTTTATACAAGTCATATATAGGATGTACTGTTTCCCACTACTCCCTGTAACCTTAGTTTTCTCCCCCCATCACCCAAGAAGCAGAATTGTTTCACATCTTAGCCACTGCATTATCAGTACTTTTTATATAGAGGCAATACAGTGCTAACCACAGTAATTTGTTCATTTCTTAAATTCAGCAAGTTGCGTTTTCTGGGGCAGGTGCTCTGTTTCAAACAGCTGCACTGATGAAGGCATCCCTATAATGGCAGATGCCAAAACGTCTCAAGCCGACTGGATCTTAAATCTGTCACAGAAACACATTTAGAATCTTTCTAGCTAAGTACAGTAGTGCATAATTAACACTCATCTGTCTTAGAAAGACTTAACTTTTATTTGCCCATTTATTTTAGTTTGTGCTTACCTCCATTTTACTCAGTACACTAGCTGGATCAAGAAACAAAATTTCTCCACAAACAGTTCAGCCAAGAGCAACCTTTTTTGGGCTAGTCATCCACTTTGGAGCTGTATTGTACAATGCAATTGTAAGCAAACTCTGACTTGTGTGGGGTTCTGATATTTGAAAGCATACTAATACTGTATACAGAAACTGGCATTCACTAGTATTCACTAGTTTTGACGTTTTCAACTGCAAACTCATCTATTTTCACAATCAGAACATTTTTGTCCGAAAAGTTTATTTTAGTTTTCTGAACACTCTAAAGCAACTGCTTTTGATGTTACACAAGTGTCCAGATAGGATTAACAAAAATTAAAATGTTCTAAATTACAAATTTAATTCCTGTAAGAGCTTCAGAAAAGAAATAGAACAGAAAAGCATGACATACACACATCGTGAAGAAACCCCAACTTTTCATGCAACGGCAGGCAAGATGTAAAAAGCCACCCAATTCACACATTTGTACACCGAATCAGAAAAGTACTCTGTAGTAAATCTGTACATCCAAATACATTTGGGATCTACACCTAAGTTACATTATTTAATGTTATATACACTTATTACCCCTGTATAATGTCTAAAGGAAAATCTTCATTCAAACCCAAACAAAAAAAAACAAACAAAAAAAGCAAGACTAACTTGGAAAAAAGGAGAATCACTTTAGACATTCAGTTAAAATGTTGGTTTTGTTTTAATCTAGACCTCAATGTTTATTAAAAACAAACAAAATCCTCTTCATTTAACGTTTTGCTTTCTAACTGTACAGTAAATTGCATTGCAGAGAACACATCCTGTTTTCAGACTGTATTTTCTTTGGATGGATTTAAGATGTAGCTGGATATTATTTTAAAGATAAATAAAGGAAAGTTGGTCCAACTAGACTGACAGCTGATATATTACATGCATGTGGGGTTTTTTTATATATTTTTAAATTACTTTTCTAAACAAATGAGTGTAGGGTATAGTTGATATTGCAAATAAACCAAAAAGCACCTGGAGTCAAAATATAAAACATACCTCCTTATCCTGACAATGGCAGTAAAAATCAGAAAAGTAATCTTTCTGGAACAGCATTTTTACATAATTTAGAAATGTTAAGTACCAGGAAGACTACTAATCAAGTAGTTTTAGCAGCCAAGTTTCCCTCTTTTTATTGAATGGAACAAATGCTTTAAATAAACCTTTTGTCCTCTTCACTGAAGAGAGCTAGTCTATTCATCTTTAATGAGCTAGGTGTTTGTTTTTTTTTTTTTTTTGGGAAGATTAGCCACGTACTGTAGTAATGCCTACTGCATATAATCCAAGCATTTGCTGTGAACAGTTGGAGAAAGCAGTCAGTAAGAACCTAGGATCAATGAAATAGATGTTACTTTAAGCCATCCACAAAACGGAGACCCATATAGTGCCCAGTGTTAAAACCCAAATCTCTTCTCGCGCTTTTTGCTGTGCAAGTTCATCCCCATGAAAACAGAAACTGATCCATAGTTCAATTTTCTTATTTCCTTAGTCAATTTTCACATTAGTGTAGATTTTACGAACAAAGGCACTTGTTCCCATGTAACCAATAGCTCCTGCAAAATAAACACAAAATGTTTATTATATTAAAGCCGATAATCAAAATAAAGCAGAAATATAAACCAAACACTTTAAATAGAGAAAGTCACATAAATCATGCACTGTGCAAAGAAAACTATTTATCTCCGACACTTATTCTCAAACTCTAATTATCCATGCTCCCAGTGAATGTCTGCCGCAAACTACCCTAGTCCAGCGATCTAAATCCATTAAGCCTTCTTACCAAGAGGCCATGCTCACTTGGCCTTGATAAATATAGCAGCCCCCCTACTGCTACCAATAACCGGGTCTTTCTTTCTGAAGAGAGGGTAGAAAACAAAATCCCCAACTCTGCAGGGGAGGGGGATGGGAAGGCAGGTTTTTATTATAAGGTACATGCCTTCTGGATGAGTGTTTTATTGGCAGATGGCTTTTTCCTTACCACAAGGCACAAATAATAATAGATCCCCATCCCAGGAGTCTTAAACTCCAAGGAGGTCTCTATAGAAAGATTAAACTAGTAGCAGTTAGTAGTTAAAGGAAATTGCAACCTGTGGTTTTCAAATTAGTAAGAGTCATGAGCAGAGTATACACTGTCATAGCAGTAATAAAAGAACAAGTCACTTGGTTTTTGATAGGGGCAACAGTTTAGCATAGACTCTAACCTACTGCAGGACTAAGGACACCTGGAAAGATGTCCTTACCTGGTCAAACCATGAAGGTCAGGTTTGCCAGGCTGAGTAAACAGCGTTGTCTTACGATACCCACAGGAAATACCCTAGCGTTTGTTCTTCATCACTTGCAAGCAAAACAGACTACATCAGCCTTCTGGAAGTCAGTTTGGCTAACTCTCAGATTAGAAATGAAATTGAAAACCAATTCAGCAGTAGAGTGAACGCCTGTCAGACAGCTACAACAACACATCATAAAATATGGTAAGAAAAGGATAGAGAAGTCAAGGCCTGTAACTCACAACAGATAAAGAGTACTCTTAACACCAAACATTGGGATGTTCGGTAAAGAACGGACTCTAAATAGAAGAGAGCAATGCAGAAAACGCCAGGATGAAGCATGAAAGCAACATTTTTGGTGAAGTGAACTGGGATGCAGCAGACTTGCACAAGATGAGCTAAATACAAAAGCCTAGCCATCATTAACAAAATTCAGCAAAAGCTTTCTTTTCCAATAAAAATAGAAAGAGTTTGTTTTCCCTTTAGAAAAGTCTGCATAATCCCTGCATCCACTGAATGAATCCTTACTAATGAAAAACTGGATGAATGACTAATTCTACTCTAAGCAAAAAGATGGCACTTCTGTTACTGTGCAGAAGCAGCTCAGGGACAAAGAAGTGGGAGGATAAGGGAAGAAGTCATGCTAGAGACAGAAAACAATATCAGAATGCCTGGAATTGGGACACCTAGAAAAGCAAAAGCTTCAGAAGAAAAAGATGCCTATGCACCTATATGGGACAAAAAGAGTTACAGAGTATTTCTCTTCTACAGAATATTTATTTAGGTCGCAAGTCTGGCTTCCAAGACAGTCATAATGGCAATGGGAACAAATGACAGATATACATGAAGTTTTTCACTAAGGGAAGAAGTGGAGTCCATCACTACTCCAGTCCACATGTTTATGTAAAGCACAGCACTCACAAGGACAGTCAGGTAACCTCAGATAAGCTGTACTCCACTTCCCATTCATCTGTTGGCAACTTTAAGGCCTACTTAGAACAAACTATCGACAGTAGGTTTTTTTAAAACCAGTTACATAAGGAGCCAAGCGCACCTCGTGGAACACAGTACCCATTCCACGTGAGTCCGCCTCTGAGTATGAGAGACTTGTAGCCTCTGTGGGGCTGTATCATACATTCTGTGTAGTCTGGATGGCTTGCTATGCACCATGACAACTCTAGCATCATACTGGAAATGGCAAAAGAGTTTTGTTAAAATATGATAAAACGCTGCTTCAAGCAGTGAGTTTTCTTAAAGGAAGGGAATGCATATACATTTTCTACATTGCTACATCTAAGTGTAGCATAGATAAATTAACACTGGACATAAAGGCAACAGCCGTGATTGCCCTGATCAAACTTAAACAGCGTATTGTAGCAGCTACTTAACAATCTTTTTCGGGTAAGCAGAATTATCCTGAACAATTACCCGGTGACAAAATAATGTCTCCGAAGTCTGTCCTAGCAAACAGGTAGAGAATAAAACCTTCTATCTGCGAACAGTAACCCCTTTTATTTTCCATGGAAATCTGACCTTCCTATGGTAGGGGGCTCTGCCTCATGGTACAACCAACCACCCAAAAGGAAAAGTTTGGCAGGATTTTCCAAATTAAGACCTCGCAGACCTACATGATGCATGAAATCTGTATGTCTCTAGAAAAACAAGTGGCCTAAGTACCCATGGATTTATTCAGAACCTGGGGAGTTCTTTAAATCCTGAGAACTGCTCAGGTAATTCATGAGCCCAGTCATTAACCTTACATACAGTTCTGTTTTTTAGATCCTAAAAGGGCAACATTCACATGTAATTAGGCAATCTGCACTCAGCAAACCTGATGCATCACTCCAATGCCGTTAGAATAGTAAAAAGCCCTGCAGAGTCAGCAGCCTCTGTTACACGGCATTTCAAGCAGTCTAAATATCATGACAACCATTCCATTGGCCAGGAGACAAAACAGTTACATTACTAGCTTGGACAAAGTAAGTCTGATTAAAATGAACACAGTACATACAAGATCAGGTTGTTAATTGCAAGCATTAAATGTGCTGAGGACACAGCAGAGAGAAGGCCTGGCAGTTTCAGGAGAGACTAGTAAAACTTCCTCACAAACCAAGTATGTGCCCCGCAGAGAAGTGAACCATGAGCTCAAACAGGAGCACAAACAGGTTTTTCTGCCGCCTGTCAAGAACCTCATCTTCTGCCTTATGTAGTAAAAGGCCAAAGTAAGGGCACTAAACTCCTGTTTTAACATGCTTCATGCTTTGCCTGTACCAAAGCAGGCAATGCCACTAGATCAAATGCCTGTTTTAGTCACTCGACTCAGATGCATTCCAGAAAAACTTGCTCTTTGAGAGTTTCTCTAGTGATGCGGTGCCAGATATCACAGAGGTCTCGGAGAACAAAGCTCTAATTATGCTTCACTTGGATCTAGGGAACGTGTGCACAAGAGGGAATTGGGGGGAAGGGGGGAAAGGAGGGGCAGAGAGTGTAGCGGTCACACCAGACCACAGCTCTCAATCATACAAACAAGTCATGGCCCGTTCTGAATCATGGCAGCCTTATCCACAAAGGATCACTAATGGCAGTACCCAAGGCAGGGGTTAAGCCTCAAGACTACTTCACAGGCATTGAATAAAACATAGGAAAAAAGAAAAAAGATAATAACAACTAAAGAACATCCTCCTGAGTTGACTCATTTAAATAAAAGGCGGCATGGTACAGAAAATGATTATTTATAAATATCACTTCATAATGTGTTTAACCAGGTTCTGGCCTGTACTAGTTTAGCTGAAGAGGCTGTAAGCATATCTCAGCAGAACAACAAGCCTTTAAATAAACAAACCTCAGAAAAATTCAAATAGCCAGGAAGACCAGCCACAAAAGAGTAAAATATTGATTCCTTTCCATTACTTCAAGCCAATTAACACTCATTACAGTTGTGGTTTGTGAGCACAAACATTAAAAACAAAAATAAAAAACACCTTCAATCATACTCATAGTATTTATCTGGATGTGGAAGTATGGCATTGCAGGAGGGCACCACACCACCTAGCTCTTATGCCATCTGCTGAACTGGGAAATAGGTTTTATCCTTCTCTGTCACTAAGGGAAGCATGAAGAGCTCAAAAGATTTGGAAGTTCTCTTGGGCTGCCTTACTGTCCAATCCCAGAACTCAGATGCTTTGCAGAGGGAATCAGATTTTGCAGCTCAAAGCATTCCAACACATGCAGGATTTGAGTTCATTAAGTGCAGTCAGGAGCACTAAAACAGAGCTAGATGATACCAGCGCACAGAGATTTTTCCTGTGGCTGCTTTGGATCGTAACTGGTTCATCTGGTACCCAACTGTGTGTTATCAAACACGACTATTTGCATGAGCATCAAAAGCACAGCTCTACACACTTTTCACAGGAGATGTACAGTCAGTAGCATGCACATTGCACAATTCTCTTAACACAAATGTCTTTGTTAGCCTTCAATGGCAGCCAGTTCCTTGGACAAATGCTTTTTGACAGGGGATTTCCACACACCCCCCTCAACATGCTGAAAATAGGAGTTCTCAGTAAAAAGGAATCTCAGCTTCTTTTCCAACACACAGTTAAAAAGACACAAACCATCTCAATAGGGCTGTGGGAATACAATTCAAGATTGAAAACAAGTATTTTCTGATTCTGAAAAATATTTAGACTTTGTTCTAACATTCCATCAAGTAACGTCCCATCGTGACAGGAAAGCATTTGACAATATTCCTGTTCAATGTTTTAAAAAATATTTTAACTACAGAAACTGGTGGGCAAGTTTGGCTTCTGCATTACAGACGTTTTAATCAATACCAGCCCGAACACTTTAAAAAGAAGAGATTAGAGAGAAAAAATATAAGCCTATTAAAGAAAAAAATGGCTGCAAGACTACCAGAACAGCAGGGAAGTCTTGTAACGTGCCAAGAACTTGATGAGGCAAGATTAGATTTCATGAGGGAGAAAGGGAAAAGGTACTCAGCAGTTAGAAATGATCTTCTCCCCTTTTTACAAAGCACTATGAAATTACCTTCTTGGGACATCAAGAAATCTACACTTTATAGAAAGTCCAGTCCTATAAGACATCATGGGTCTCAAATCTCTAACTCACAGAAAATCTTCCATTATTGTCCATTTATTCACTGATAGGAAGAAGGTGTTAAATAAGGAACACACACACACACACACACACACACACACAAAAGTATATCACAGAAAAGTGCAGAACCATACAGCACTTTCTGGAAGTCAAAGTGAAGGATGAAAATAAAGCTAGCAGATGGACAAGTATCCTTAACTTCATCCAGTGGCCTTCATAGAGAGTACTGTTTTTTTCTTTAAACATCTGTCAAAACAACATCTTAATAAGCAATGAAATCCAGCTGGCAGTAAAGAGCATCTGTTCTCTCCTCATCTGTGAATACTTCAATACTTATTTCTCAAACACTATTCTGAAGTTTCAGTCCTTTCTGTACTAGTCACCTTCATATACACATGCCACAACATACAGATGGTAGCAGCATCAGGGATGAGATGCCACTGATGCTTCAACGAGGGTATCTAGCGCTTCATACTGGGACAGCGGTAAAAACTCTGAAGTAAAATATTTACATGGACTCAGCTCAATTTGAAATTTATTTTGCAGAATTTAGTGTTTTGAAAATGCATCTGTTACTGTAGTCTGACCCAACACTGACTCTTTCAGCCTTGCACTGAGGCTGAAATTCTTGGCACAGCACATAAACATTATTTTCTATCTGAAGAAACAATCCATAGAAACCTCCTATGCTAGTAATAGGAACCAAGTGTAACCAGAGGACTGTAATATTATTTTCAAAGATTTTAAGCTTTGTTTACTAGATCTAACATACATACATACTCCCTATCAACACCACAGAGCTAAAATCAAAAATGTGACAGTCTGATGAATTCTGTCAGCAAATTTTCAATATATTTGAAACTTACCGCACATAATCCCCAAAGCTGTGCTAAATACTGCCATATAACCAAAGTAAAACGATGTTTGAAACAAGCCATACATCCTGAAAAAAAGAAAAAAACCACAACAGAATTATTGCCAGGTTATTTTCCCATTCTTCCTCAGTATGAATTATTCTACGTTCTAAAGCATGCTAAAAAACTTCCTTGGCATTACGGTAATCTGGTAGTCAAGCAAGAAAACTACCACTTACTTTGTCTTGAAAAAGTAGTAGTAAAAGGAGTACGTGTAAACATATATCGCAGTTGACGCAGCAGAAAGAAAGCTTGTCCATTGCCTGAAAGTAAACACAAATGTCCATCATGCATCTAACCAAAAAATATGCACAGTGGGCTAAAAAAATCTGCCTTGAGAAGTGTACTGGTTCTATAGACTTATTTAACAAAATCTGCATGTAGTATGCTTCAATTGACAAAAGCTCCTAAGGCAACAGCTATGGCTGATATCAAATGATGAACCTTCTTGATATTGCTGTGAGCACCGACTTTTTTTTTTTTTTTTAAATACATACATACACACACACAGACACAGCTCCTGAACAGAAAGAATCAAAGAACCAGGCACATATAAGGGATAACAGAAGGCAGAACTTGCTTATAGTTGAAATCTGGACATGGGACACTTTGAAAAGACCCATTTAGATTGAAGAACCATTACTTTCATAGAAAATATCCCTGATCTGGTTAACTATGCAAAACCCACAATACTTACCACCTGTAATCCTCTGCATTTAGCAGGAAATATGTACAAACGATAGTCACGCAAACTGTCACAATGCAGAGGATAACCAGAACCAACATCATAAAGCCATAAACATAGTAGATCTTGTAAGCCCAGAATGAAGTAAAAATGAAATACCTGAAGAGAATAAACAAAATATGCAGGTGACATTGCAATTAGACTTAAATTATTAGCAGTTTGAATCGACTGCACAAATAGCTGACAAACTCACATTTCAATAAAAATTGATCCAAAAGGGAGGATTCCACCTAGGCAAACAATAACCGCTGGTTCCATGAACCTGAAACACATTAAGATTTGTTTAGGGACAGCTTTAATCTTTCATTTATAAACATGTTAAGACAAAAGACCAGATAATTAACGTAGCATAAATATATGTAAAAGGCATGCTAATGAGAACTTTTCTGTCTCACACCAGTATGTTAGAAAGAAAATTCCCCCAAAGATGTCACGCGTACAGAGAGGAAAAGTTATTCTTGGGGAACCCAAAACAAAACATAAATTCTCACCCGTTTCCAGAAATAAGGTTATGAATCTAACCAGTCTTAAAGGTTACAGAGATAATCCCTCTTGTCCAAAAAGGGCCTAACAATCAGTGAAAACTCAATGCTGTGGATGGCCACACGTCTAAAACTACCAAGAAAAATTGTAAAGGGTAATGCTCATATAATTAAGAGTCACTGTATATTTTTGGTGCTATACTGAGCCAGTGTGTCATGAGCACATGGCCAAAAATTAATACTCAGCTACCTGTAGATGATACTGTTACTTACTAAAGGTGACCTCTTTGTAGTACTCACAGTGATACTGAATCTAGCTAGCAGTGATTTAATTTGCAGCTTCTTTTATTATTTATAGGGAGACTTGTCTAAGTTGATGGCATGTAATTTCATCCTCATGAAAAGTATCTTATTTCTTTGCTTCTGTCATTCTGATCCAGCAATAAGCATCAGTTTCCCAAGATACAGGCCACACTATAAATCAAATCCTAGCTTCTCAGCTGCACAACCTGCCACTAACAAGAGACTAAACGTGCTGTCCTTCCTGGATATTGTGAGCGTACACGATTCAGTGCCCCCTTTACCCTGTCTGTTCCATTCCTCTGAACAGCGAAGGCAAGAAAAATCTATTAAAAAATCCTCTGAGGATATTATTTCCATAGCTTGCTGCTTCCATCTCAGAATGAAGTTAATAGGAAAAAGCAATTGCATTTGTGATACACCAAAACGCTAAGCCTGCTTAGACTAGGCATCCATATACACTCACTTCGAAAATAATTAAGGCTTATTCACAATACGAACTGTACACTTGGCTCTGTGCCATCCAAAAAGGCACAGAAGAGGGAACACCATTGCAAACCTCCCCACCATCACCCTGCAAATGTGTCGCAGCCTGAACGTGGAGACCATTAAGCAGAACAGTTCTGCCTCCACGGCACATTCAATCCTAAATCCGTCAGAGGCATTAACTAAAGAGGAGAGGTTTAATTTCAAGATACCCATATAGGAACTGGGTTGGGACCATCCCTTTTACATAAGAGGCTGAACAGCAATTCAGGCCAAATGTAAATTAGCGATCCAGGACTATAAAAGCTGCTACAACTATTAACTATTAATTGTACTTGGTATTTTTATACAAGAGAAAAATTGTACTAAGGAAACTTCAGTAGAGGTGTTCTAGACACAACTCTATCTAAACCTAAACATTTTTTCTAAAAAAAACTTCTAGTGATCACACCTGAAAAGTCATTTTAAATGTACTGAAGTGAATACACCAAGTTGACATGCACTTGTCTTTACCATTTTTTCTCTGGTATGGGACGAGGAACTGCATTGACACGACATGGAAAATTAGGCTGTCCTGACAGATTTCGGCCAAGAATTGTACCAACCAGGTTCAATGGAAGAATAACAAAGAAGCAAATACAGCACACTGCCACCTGTAAATTAAAAAACAGGAGTGACAAGACACAAAAAGATATATGATATATAAGCATCCATCTATATGAGTGCTTAATAGTTATCCAGGTGGAATCATACTCCTTATTATGAAGCATTAGACAATACGCATCTACTTTATCAAATGAGGGATTTCCGGAGAAACTTCTTAATAAACATTAGAAAAAAGTTTTAGTATAGGATAGAGCATTTTCTTGCATCAATTCAAAGAACAGAAGTATCATAGTGGGTTTTTTTTATTGTTTTCTTCTAATCACTATACTCAATACATCACAAAGAAATGAAATGGAATTCTTCATGTTGCTTCATTACAGAGCATTTTGCTAGCTTCTCTTCACCTTTTGCAGAGTATGCTATCCCTGGGAATTAACATCTAGCTGTTAGCCTGTTACATATAAAAAAATATCACAAATACTGCTGGTTACAAAGTTCTTAATCCAGTAAGGCCATCCAAAAAAGGAACCCAAACAAAAATTCTGAAGCCATGTCAGGATGCTACAAAACAAAATTTTGGGCTTAAGTTTCTCCACTACCCATAAACTAGATAATTAAGAACACAGATGCCAAAGACACAAATGGGTACGCAGAGATGCTCAGTTTACAAGCACAGTGACCCTATTTACACATACAGATTAGGTTTATGCACAATGCAGCCAAGTCAGGCTCTTTCCTATTGAGCATCCTCCCAAAAGTTTTACCATGAATCATCTTTCATGCAATACACACACGTAGCTCTACTTTTGCTGTTCGTGGAAGGCAATACATTCTCATCTTCCAAAACAGGAAATTTTAAGCGTTTAGCAAGATGCTCTCTACTGGTGAATCTTTAACACAAAATGAACGAGAATTAAACAGCTTGATACATTTTTGATACTGTAAGTTAAAGACAGAGCAGTTTCCTGTAATGCAATAACCATAGCTCTTCTGAATGTTGATAGTGTGACCCTCCCTACGTAAACATATGAAAAACAGCCCTTTAAAGAGCACAGTTGCCTGAGGCTCTGCATATGCTCCATGCCTTGCCCCTGCACCTCCCAAGCAAGGACAAAGCTGCTACATTCCTCTTTCATCCCATCATGACACAAGGCCCATGGCAGCAGATTAATCCAAAACAAGGGAGAGAGGACCATACTGACTGTGTAAGAAACAGTTCCTCCATGAGAAATGAAGGCTCTGCACATATGCTATATCTATGGAAACCTACTGCAGGCAGCTGACAAGCAAGAACTCCTAGGCTTTATGGGAAGAGGAGCTGCACTACATTAGCTTGATACAAATCTGGCATTAAGTCTATTACACAATTTTAAGGTAACATCTGACCAAAATAAGTCTGTCACTGACTTGCACATCATTACTGGTCTGGGCAAGATGTGGATGAAAGATGATGCCTGGGGTTGAATGGAGCAAGTCTTAATACTTCTGCACAGCAGAGAGACACTGAGCAGGTGGGCAACAAGAAGCAGCACTGTCCAAACTGCTTTGTAGCTCTTTAAGAGGAGGTTAATCAAGCATTAATATCATAAGCCACTAAAATTTGAAGCTTCAGGTGTAAATAAGAAGTTTTTATATCTGACAACACTAACAAAGCAGAACTCACTACGCATTTAATATCTCCCATCTATCTCCTCCCAGGACAGGAAAAACACTGGCAAGCAGGCAGAGTGGTTTAGGTAGGACTTTGAGGTCATCTAAGAATGAATTTCAGAGGAAGTGTATAACTACTTAGCTCTCACTTAATGGATGCAGGTTCAGCTACTTTGCTCTTGAAAGCTGCTCAACCTGCATAAAAGAATGAGCAGATAAGAATTTTCAGAGGAAAATGACAAAAAAAAAAATCTGAAACACCAAAGAGCAGCATCTTGAGTCCCACATTTATTAAAATCCTTTAAAAATCCTTCAACATTACAGGATAAGACAAGAAGCACTACCACGAAGGCAAATAACAAGCTGAAATCATTCCTAAATAAACCTTAGCAGTTCTAGATCAAGAAGTCCCGGCTTGTTCAAGGTGCAATGGGTAGAAAACACGTTCAAGAATCAAGGCCTGGACAGGATGGAACAAATTTTGGGGCTGACCACAGTGAAAGCCATTTCTATTTGAAAGAATAGCTTGCTTTGTTGGAGCTGTTTCCTGACTGCATAAGGATTTCTGCATGTCATGGGCCATCTCTGTCCATGGACTGAGTCAGGCTCTCACAAGGCAGGTGTTAAAGCTGGCTAAAATAGGGAGGTCGAATACAGGTGGTGTGAAAGGGCATCCCCGTTACTCATCCAAACACAACATTTATAGTGTAGAGTTGACAAGGTGTTTGTGGCTTCATTTCTTGATCTCAGAAATAACCTTAGGGAGAGCGATAGACGGTGAATCCACTGCTTTACTGCAGAAAAGAAGTGTCCAGCAGCAGCCCCACAGTCTGAGCTCACCTGGAACAAAACCTGTAATTTCATAATTGTCTATCTTGCAAAACAAGCCCATGATGGAAAATCCTCATGGAAAGGATATAGTCTCAGACAAGAAATCATGCAAAGACCATCCAGTGCTACTTACTGACTAGAGAGCAAACTCCTAGATGAGGAAAGGCAGGCAATATCACCTCGTTCTAGCGATACCAACTGCAGAGGTGAATGGCTTCAAATCAGGTATGCAAGGAGTAGGTCCCATTTGTTTCTACAGAGCATGGCTGTTGTGTCATCTGGGAGACTGACCCACCAACAGCTTTGAATTCCAAAACGTTTATCGGTATAAAACATGTTGAGACAGACCAAGGTTCCTTCAATAACGGCCTCAGTAAGTACTGCCAACCTGTCCCCAGTACGTCTGTCACTAGCATCCATCAGAAAACCTGCCCGCTTGTGGCTTCATTATCCGATCAGCCATGCCATGACTGATGATGCTGGAAGAACTTCCATTCTTTTAACCATCTGGCTGAAAAATAAACTGCTCTCTGCCAGAACCGCTAGAATCTGAGGTGAAATCTAGTAACTAGCATTAGGTAAAGGCAACACGTTATTAAACATTGTACCACCTGTCTTAATGTTTTGCTATGTTCCAAGGGCAGCTGGAACAGGAATGCATTTTTCTCTTTTTCCTGGAGCCGTTCCAGACTCTATAAATTATCTGAGATGATTTTTGCAGTGCAATGAGAAGCCCAACTAAATGAGCGAAGGAATGCCTTCCACTTCCGCCTGCCTCTGATACGCTGTCCAAGCTGAGAGATGTGAATGTTCTGTCTTCTGGGATGGCCTGCTGCTCTCAGAGTAGGCCAAGCAACATGACTGGTGCTGGTAAGAATCAGCACACATTGTGCTGACATCAATAGTGCCTTCCTTCTTGCTCTCAACTTTGTCCAACCCCAAGTAAACCTACCTGTTCAGACTGATACATGCTGAAAATTACTTTTTTCTGTTCTTGGCAGTAACAGTCTCCTCTGGATGTGAGGTGGAAATTACAGGCTTTTCTGGTTTGTGCCATTTCAGTCACGTTCCTCTTATTTTCAGAGTCCTTCAAGCAAAGGATCTGAGCAGAAGACACCGCTTCCTCCCAAACTGAACAAGTATCACCTCTTGTCACAGATGGCAGGGGCAATTGCGATGATGATACAGACTGGGCAATGTTTAAACCTAGAGAGTTTAAATTCAATTCGAGGCCAACATAGAACACTGGGGCATATATGCCCTAATTAAAAGAGGAGATGAAGTCAGGAGATTTTTGCCTACAGGTTTCAAAGAATGAGACTACAGCGGTAATAACAGCTCAGGCACCTACTGGCCTCCATATCACCATCACAAATGGTAAGAGGAAATGAAGACAGGATCAACAGACTTGTGCTCTGCCCCTGCACAGGAGCTCCAGGATAGCATCAGACACTTCTCGTGGACCTCCACTCAGAGGTCACCAGAAACACACTCAAAAAAAGCTGCCTGACTTCAGTTTCATCTGAACAATAATAGCTTTTGCATGACCAGTGGAGATATTAGAATTAGGTCCTAACAAGCCTTGTAAGAGAATTTTTACTGTAACATCAGCCAAAAGAAATTCAGAGAACAGTCTTAACTACCACTTCATAGAATACAAATACACGAAAACACAGGCAAATCCACATCTGCAAACCCAGTATTCCATCATGCAAACACTCTCCAGAATCAATATTACACAGTACGCACTATGATAATCCAAAATATCACATTTGCATATGAACATCTGATTTAGTTCGCAGGTTTCAGCTGCCACAGGACCGATCATCTACCCCACCAAGCCTGCATTCTTTCTCATCCTTTTTTTTTTTTTTTTTTTCTGAGGGGGAAAGGATATTCTATTGCCCTTGACTGAACATGTAGAATGCAGTTTTCCCTATTTGAAAAGAAATGTTGTTGAGAGGGATATAATTTATGTTCTACCACAATGTGTTTCGCATTTTCTGACAACTGTAGATTAAACTTCAGTCAAAGGTGATAATTAAAATTTTTATGAGCATATCTAATATTAAACAGCTACTGGCAGGCTGCAGTGCCTTGACTGCTTTAATGCACAAGGGAGAAATGCAATAAAAATTAACTGTCAAAGCAGCAGCAGAGGCTTGATCTTTCCTGTCAGCTACCAAAACCGCACCCTCACCCAGCATGAGGCTCTCCTCCAATATAGAGGTTACTGAATCTGTACAGTGAAACACCTTCATACACTTAATCTGTCCAAACATCTCTCACACACACACACACAAAGAATACAAGGCTTCAAAATAGTGTTATTTATTTTATTTCAACTAAATTGCTAATCTATGGTGCTGTTTTGAGAAATAAGTTGAAGCAGAGAATTTAGCCAGAAGCATTGAAGTATGTCTACTTCTGGATAAGTGAGGTTTGTGACAAAGGTCTCGGTCACTTTCAAGCAACCTAAGGAAGCACTCTGCTGAAAGCATATAGATTTTTTTTTTTCCCCTTTTTTGGCCAAGTGTACTTCAGCTAGATCATTTCCTGATCCAGCTCACTGCATGAAAACCTCTGCTACTGTCTTTTTCAGTGGTAGCCCATACTCCTGTCAACTTACAGCCATTGGAGACGGCTGCAGCCTGGATTAAGCTATCTGTTGGAGCGAAGACGTTTTTCTAACTTAGACAAGGTATAATGGACGCAAACACTAAGGTCTTCATCCCAAGAGATATTAGATGTACATAACCTTATTTAACGAAATAACTAAAAAAGCATACTGGAAAACTTAAGTACACAGGAACCCACGTTTCAAACAAAACAGAAATGGTAGGTCCTAAGCAGTTTAATACAAGCTGCTTAGATACTGCAATTAGAACATAACTTAGTCATACTAAGGTAAGTCTTAATGGAAATCCTTAAAGTATGTATTATACACAACTTATGACTACTTATGTTGTTTGTGAAGCACTAGAATTAAGATGGTCTCTTTAAATTCAACTCTGCTCTACCTTGTAGAAATACAGCATTACTTAATAAGTACTTTTTGTATAGAAACACTACAACACTCCTTACGAACGTGTGCAGCCAGCTGACTTTACTTGCCATCTTTTACGGTAACTGTTCCATGCTCCATCTGTTGCTTATAATTCAAACTCCAACACAGCAGAAACATAACGGGTAAGTATACTGAAAAGTCTGACTTAAAATGACAAAAGATAAGCCAACGTGTACTACACCTTCAGAAGAACTCTATGCTTGCCAGTAATAGGAATAGGACATAGTAAACAAAAAACCTAAACTAAAAAAAACTTAGGTTCCAAAAAAACAAAGAACCAAATAGCACCAACTTTGTTTCCATGAAGATGAAGAGATGAGGGGAAACCAGACTTTGATAGCTCCTTCATATGCTTAGGGGAAATCAAGCACTCCAATTGAAAGTTTTAAACTATTAGGTTTTAAAAAATTCTCATATTTGAATAAAATCTGTCACACTCTCTATTACATTTTGAAGGGAAGGGCAACTGAAGAACATCCCAGGGAAGATATTAAGCCTTTGTTCAGGCTTACAATGTATTTTGCTGCACACAGTTTGTCACATTGTAGGCAGAGGGCTTGCATGTAAATCCAAAAGGGCTAAGGACAGAGTCCCCAGGCTGAAGAATGAGCTCAGAATTATTTCTTCAGTGTTGAAGAGCAGATGCCAAGTAGATCAAAGGTGCAGCAACCGCGTGTTAGTTTGGATGTCTTCCCTGTGACCGGGCCCTTCTCAAATTCAACAGAAAACCTATCTGGAGGGAGACTGTGCCTAGTAGTTCACCGGAAAGTGGGAAGGTGAATTGGGCAAAGTATGGACGTCATATTCCAGCATAGTATCTTAGCAACCTTTCTGCTCAGTGATTCCTTACAGCAACTCAGTTTCTGCTTTTTCCAGATTTCCATGACTCAAGAAGAGGTGGTAATTCTTGCTGGCAATTTCAGTCAAGGAAAACGTTTTCAGACACCCCAGGGTAAATAAAGGAAGTCATCTCTGAGGTCTAGTCTATTTGGATGGCAGAGATTTTATTTCCGGAGGAAGGCAGAAGCAAGTTTGCATTAGAGAATTCTGGAGACTTCTTGGAAACACAGAGAGACACTCTTCTACAAAAAGACAGAGGGCTTCCCAGGGACATTAAGCACAACATGGTTAATTTCAAACAATTTTCATTTCCTTCTACAAACCAGCTTCATCAGTTGATTAGAATTCATTAGAGCACTGATTATTCTGATGAAGTTTTCTATCCATAACCACCTCCTCCAAGTCTGCTAACTCCACTGAAGGTTTATTACCACAGTCATAATGATTCAGACACATTCATAAAACCTTGAGATCATTAAAATCACTGCATATAAAGAGTCCTAACATCGAGATTAAGTGACCCCTGAAGATTCATATGCTTATTTGTTTTTGCATGCACATGTTTCCATGATCTTAAAATACAAGTCAGTTGAACAGAATTACCAGACAAATTTCAATACAGGTGAAATTCCCTTCCATCAGCATTCCTGAACTCCACATGGGAAAACAAGTAAGAAATGTGATATCATGCATGCTTGCTCAGCAGTAAAACAGAGCCTCTTTACACATGTCAGAGATTAATGATGTAAACCTTTCTGACAGTAGTGTATATGGTCACTAGTTTAGGAAAGAAAAACCAATACACAATCCCTGTAAGGCAGACTGATTAATACAGACATAGCCAAAGTCTGAATTTCAGTCTAACTTCAGGAAGAGAACCAGAAAAATTAAGTGAACAGTTTATAAACATGTTTGACTTGATAGTATATTTAGTGGTCTTATAATGACTAATTCCATGTAGAAAGTGGTATTTAGGTAAGCACTGAAAATACTAATAGGGAGGCGACTATAATCAGCAATATACATATCAAGTGATTTCTTTTTTATCATCTCCTGTGATTTCTACCACAGCCATTCTTTAACAATGTGTTTTTAAAGTATTTTCAGTCGCATACTGATTTTGATTATATTCCTAATATTGCAGTAAGACAGACGTTGTGACACCAAGCTTCATTTTGTAGTAGATTTAAACTAAGCAGAAATACAAGGCTACTCAAGTATCTCTGAAGACACTGAATTATTTAACATGTCATAAAAACCAGCATTTAAAATTAAACTTCAAGATTTACTACAGGTATTGCAGAGAAAACAAGCCTTCCTTTATTACGAAAACTTTTTTTTTTTTTTTTTAAAACATTAGCAGTGCTACTGCACAAAATTACAAAAAAGGGCAGTTTCACTGTACCATTTTCAAAAAATTCTGCTCTCGCAAATATCACCTCTTGTAAGGTCAAACAGAAGCTTTATCCAAGGGCCAAGTCATTATTTCCTAAATTATATTCACAGAGTTACTTGAGCTTACTTGCAAGGGCCAGGAGAGCAAACAAAGTCTGACAAAAGCCATGAGATACGTGAAAAGTCATCTTGATTAAATAAGTAATCCAACCAGCATTATTTTTCCAGTGACATGGTTAAAATGCAGACAGAAGACTATGACCAGACACTAAACATCACTTCTGAACGTGAAAACAGTGATTCCTTTTCCTAAGGCCAGAACTGCTCAAGACTTCTCATTGTTGGCTTATTTTGTTAATTTTATTTTTACTACTTGACTGCAATGATTTGGAAGTGGCTTTTGATTGGATTGCTTCTGTATTGCATTTTAGCTTACAATCAGTTTGCATTAGCCATTCAGAAGAAAACTCAAGTTGCTACCTTCCCATTTTCTTAAGGTTTTTATAACATGAGGCTTGAATACACAGCAGAAGTGCCAGTTTAAGTAGAAAGACGAGTGTGGCTGGCATCTAGCAGCTGTTGTTACTGTAAAACAAATCTTGCTTAAAGCACCTGAAAATCCCACCAGAATAAGTTTCTAACTAGGAAGCTGAAGCTATGACTCACAATTGTATTCAGATTAAAAAGTACTTTTCCTGTGTCTGCAATGCTGTTTAAATTCTCCATTAAAATGACTCACCATTGTTCCAAAGGGTATAGCTCTTGAAGCATGATAATAGATGGCAATGAAGTTAATGAAGAAGGCAGTGCCACACACCATTGCTGGAATAAGGAAAGCCCCAATGAACATCTGCTTTATCCATCGCCTTCCTGCAAGAAAGGACGTTCCAATACAACCGATAAGATATGCTGTATTTTGTTCAAAAGTTACTAGCAACTTCTCCAGAACTTGTGTTCGGCTTCTTTTCCCCCGCAAAGGGAAAAGATGAGTAAGAACATACTGCATACATAGAAGAGTAACTAAGAGTTTTATTTGGCTCCTGGAAATTCACAGGATGCAGCACATTAAGCAATTTATTTGGCCAGGGAAGAAGAAAGGGGATATAGTTTGAGCAGGTTCTGGCCCAAACAAACAACAGCATACGCTGACTAGCTGGCCAAGAAAACACGGGTATTCAATATGAGCATGTATCTAGGCTGCGAATTAGCACTGACAGAAGTACCAGAGCAAGCTCTGTGCAGAGCCTGCCTGCTCACAGCAGCACTGCATGAGAGCTCTGCACTGCTCCCAGGGCCAGCTCAGCACTACAGCTGCATTCAGGCAGCACCTGCTCCCAGTTACTGTGACCAAATGAAGCTGGCTCCATACCTTCAGGATGTTTTAAGAAAATGGCTACACTTAGTATAAAGCACAATACTACAGTTTTTAAAACACAAGAGAAAAGGAAGAAGGAAAATGATTCCCAAAACGCAGACAGTAAGGGGAACAGCAACACTTGTCAGCAGTTGTTATTATATCTAGAACTCCCTAAGGAGCTCAAAACTCCCCCCCAAAAACAAAAACAAAAAAAACCCACATGCTTTGGCAATACCTTAAGTGTTTCACTATCTGTATTGCCTTGACTTTCTAAACTCTTAAATACTGTATTTATTTAAATGTAATGTAGATGCAGCTGTAATATGTGCTAAGTAGAAAACAGCCAGAAAACCCAGCATATGTTTTCAGGATCATCGTAATATATTTTTCACCATGAGCCACATAAGCAGCAATTCAGGGCTTATTGCATGTTTGATCTGTAGACAAAATGCAAAATTGGCTTAACTATACAGCAAGGGCCATTGAAGCAGTACAACATTTTTAGATCAGTAACCCCAAATTACCTAGATCTGTTTTTCTACAAATCACTTTATGCGGGTTGATATACAAGCCAAACAGCTGACCTCCAAATTCTGCCATAGAGACTTAATACTAATCAATATTTCTCGCTAAAAAGATAGAAATTTTCTTTTGCAAGCTCACCAAAACTAATTTTCTTAAAGCACTGGGGAAGATGATAGATATTGATTACTCTATTGTTGCAGCCCAGGGGATAGATGAAGCTTGTGGAAATGCCAGGATGTAACTGGTCATAACTCAGAGGCACTACAGGGAGCACTTGAAGACCGTCTGTCCAAATATATCATGTCCATTTTATTGGGCTTCTGTTCTCTACTGATGCTCATTTTGAATTTGGGTAAGAACAAAACAGAGTGCACAATGAAAAGGAGAATCACCTTCTACGAAAAAGATTCTATGAACAGTTTTTTCTGTCTGTGATTAATGGCCTACTAAGTACTGTTTATCAACACCGAAAGGAAGGATCTACATAACCCCCACAAACCCTACAGAGGGGGAATAAGTGGGAATTATCTGGAGCAGATGACGAACTGTTTAACAGCATACTTTACAGAACAGAGAGAGGGTCTATTAGACCCTCTGGATGTCATTAGGCATGCATAACTATACACAAAAGTATAACGTGATTCTTAAACAATATAACTGTTAATAGCTCCTTAGTTCTTATTACTTTTAAATTAACCAAAGACTTCAGCAATCTTCGGTCAGAAAATGCAGCCAATGTTCAAGAGGAAATAACATGACAGTTAAATATACTCAAAATATTTTATGTTCATTAAGAATTTAAGAGATTCCATCTGGATGCCCTAACTCCATGAGGACACCTCTCAGTGGTGCAGATGAGAAAACAGTAACTTTTCCATTTAACAATATAATTATAAACACTGAAATATGAAAAAATTTACCTCCTTGTCTAGCATAAAGGCTTCCTCCAAAATATCCATTCACTGGGGATGTTGCAGCATAAACAAATATAGCTGTACTAAGCATTGATCCTCTCCTACAGAAAGTGATTTTTTGTAAATGAAATAGAAAAGCAAACAGCATTATGGCAATAGATCACAGTAAAATATGCAAAGTTAGCAGAAGTAGTTATTTAATAATTTTAGCTAATCCAAAAATTAAAGAGAAAGTGTTAGTTTAAATTTGAAAACCTGCATAAGAACGAGAATTGTTTTTACTCTAAATCTAGTTCGATCTGCGGGGGGGAAAAAAAAAAAAAAAGAGTTCTGACATACTATGTTCTTTCCTAACGTGCATTTATATTCAGTGGAATTAAGCATAAGGTATCACTTCTGACCAAAATGACAAACTGAACTATTTAACTGACGCATATAAGCGTAAGACTCAACTATTGCAGATAAAAGGTACTCTTAGGTAAACATAGATGCCAGTATTAACAAAAATATACTAAGATTGTGAATGATGTTTCTGACATCTCTCAGAAATTAATTTTTAAGATGAAAGTGCTCCTCTTACTCAAAATTAGAAAACCTAATTTAGATACTATAAATGCTGTAATGAAGCTACAAATCAGAGTAGAAGAGTTGAATCATAATTTAAAAATCAACAAACTCTTATCACTTCATTAAATGCTGGAGTACTCATCTTTGAGTATTTTCTGAAAATTTATAGGCAAAGCTAATAATTTTAAATCATAAAAGCTATCCCAAAATACATTTTTAGTCTATATCTAAGAATAGCAAGATATAAATGTTGCTCATGAACAGAGCTGTTTCCCCACTTCTCCTGCAATAAAATGCAAGACTCTTCTGTAGCTGTAAGCAATAGAAGGATTTCCGCCAGTCTGCTGAACTATCTCTAAATCATTTGCTCTGAGAGACTCCAGACTCTTGGCATTTTAGCTTTTGATGGACAAACACTGGACGCCTGCCCTACTTAAAGTAGTTGTCTTTGGTACAACTGGCTTCCATGACCGAAAGGCCTGAATTAAGCAAATATGCCTGTTGGTCACACACACTAAAGTATCAGTATGCTAACATTTGTCTATTAAAAATAAGCAATATTTCCATTTTAGAAAGCCAGTTGTTAGATGGAAAACAAACTTTAATAGCCTTCTTCATTTGAGCCAATTTAGAAGCATATATAAAAAACCTCACAAGACTGCACGGCATCTAAAGTGATACAGGTTATTTGCAACAGGACCAGCAGATGCTAATTGAAATGATCTCAAGATGTCTTATTCTCAAGCTTACTCATTTATGTTTCAAATGTTCTAATGGGAAATGTTCTCAAAACACAACTGAACATGAATAAACTAATATCTGCCATGATCAAATGTCACTGAGAGACTTTTAGTTGACGTCAGCTCCGTGCTCCTAAGAGTTTTACAGGACTGAAGAACACCGGTGGGTAATGACCTACAATTCTGGCTTACAACCTTCTTCGCTCTTCTTAATTTTCCTCAACATAAGAATTTGCTGTACCAGATTTGGTCAACTGTTCAGTTGTGCACCCAGAATTAAACTAACTTTGAGAGTAATATAAAGTCCTATCGCAATAAAGGCCTAAGCACACATTCTACAAATCACTGTTCTGACATATTTTACAATTGCTGTTATTAACTTATAGCTGCGCTACAGTGAGCAAACATTCTGAAATAGTTTCAGTCCATACCGTAAAGAGCTGACATGCTGTCTGATTAAAAATATGTATTCAAGTCTCTCCAGAAATGTAAACATTGGACAGAGGGAAGAGGGAAACACCATCATATGAGAAGTGAAAATACACCACCATCCTGGTACCACAGAGTGGATTTTTATACCCACTGCATTACAAGGTAGTTAAATTCAAAAGCAAGAGTTCCCTCTAGTGGCTTGCCACAAGTACTGCAACTTGCTCAAAACCACAGAATTACAGGTGGACACACAAGCAAAAACGTATGATAGAATTGGCATTTTAGTGATTGCTTCAAACTAAGCACTTGTAAAAGTATTTGTTACGGTACCTAAAAAACGGTCACTACAGAGATACAGAGATAGAGGAAGCCCATCTTTCCTCCAGAACACCAAAGTCTCAAAAACAAATAGACAAAGGGTAAGGAATAGACCTAGGTGAACTACAAGTGGTGAGTTGCATTTAAACTAGAATACCCTTTGTTTGTTTTAAATTAATTCTCTCCAGTCAGGGCTACAGCCCAACTACTGCTGGAAGTTTTACGTGCAACACCTGCTGGGGAGCGTCTATTCCAAAGAACAAAGTACCCAATCCTGAGAAGATGCATAGATAAACTTGACTTAAATGCATTGCAAGCAGTAAACAGGACTATTCACAACACACTAAACTCCCGCTGCAGTCTCTACAGGACGGAGAAGTGAGGGAAAGGTAAGAAACGGTAAGATCTTGTCACTCCATATGAAACCAGGAGTGAAATACGTGCCTCGTATCACCTTTTTTTTTTTTATTACCCACATAATCCACAGCAATACTGCAGAAAAACAAACCACAATCTCTTAATATATCATGTAAAAAGCAAGGAATAAAAAAAACGCAAGTTTAAAGGAGACAGTCACATGGTAGGAATAGGACAACATTTCATTACAACTTAAAAAAACTTCTTTGAATACTACCCCTGATTACAAACTCTCAAACACAATTTTTCAGACCACAGTTAGAACATTCAGTTTTGTAATGATTTCGTTCATTTAAGTATTTATGTGTGGAAGATACGGCACAATCACACTTACTCTGTGTATAAATCCTCTATCATTGCAACAACAATGACTATGAGAGAGACAGCAAAAATCTGACAACCAGAACCAATAAGCGATGAAAATATTAAAGGATGACTGGATGGTCTAAAAACATCTCCATGGACCTGCTTCCACCCGTACTCATCACCTAGATCTCTGTCCTAGGAACAACAACAGAAGAAGTTTTAGGTCTAGTCATCACAATAACAACAGAAATATACATGCTAGTCATTAATTAAGCATTTGATTTACTAAAGTAACTTCAAGGGTAAGCACGTCTTCTCTTTCGAATGCATCCGTCTAGGAGAAAAGTTTGCTCTTCAGATGCTTATTAAGACAATAAAAATTGCTACTTGAATGCATAATGTAGCAAAATTTACTAGGCTCCCTCCCTATCCCTAAAGTCCTCTGAAGGGCTTAGGGGACTATGCTTTACACAGACTTCTATCACACACTCAGCAGAAGGGACTTCATTCAACTGAAGTGTGGATACGAACATCAGCATAGGTACCACAGAGAGCATTCCGGGCTGCAACCTCGGAGCAAGAGGCTCCTAAAAGATAACGGGTGGCACAGATTTTATCTGCCTGTTCAGCCCATAGTAGTCTGCTGTTCAACACTAGCAGGAAGTCACACTCTTGGATTCTTATATATGAAAGACACACTATGTTACAAAGAAATCCAGTAACGCTTTCAAAACAAACATATGGTAGTTTTCTGTCCAAGTGAAGAATGCAATTCAGAGATTCTAACACAATGAACATATGAAAAGAAAACAGTAAGTCTTACAAAAATCAGTGCATGAATAGAGATCTTACCATATCGTCCATTTCTTCCTCTTTACTGTATCTTGCATAATCTTTTCGCAAAGTTCTCATTAATATCATAGACACTAGGCCAACCAGAAAGATCACCATCATGAAAGAATTAAAAATTGAAAACCAGTGAATCTACAAAGAGAAAACACTCAAATTTTAGAACTGTAAATATTTCCAATGTGCTTCAAAATGGATATATTATTACCACAGCTTGTCAGCATAAGCTATTGCACTAAGTAACAACATACCCATTTTGTAATTAACAGTACATTTGTAGAAAGTCCCACTAAAGAAGGCCAGTGAAATACCACATATATACTTTCAACAACTAGACTTGCTCAAGACTAAGCTACTACAGCTTAGTCAAGCACCAGCAGAATTCAAACAACTGTCTATGCATGTTCCCTTAACCAAGGGCAAAGGAAAAGCAATACGATATAGGGCTGCCTTTCTAAAGAGAAAATACTTCAGCTAGTAAAAGATATGCTCAAAATCAAAAACCAAAGGGTTTGGGAGCCACTGCTTTGTACAAGACCAAAATGTTTGCCTCTGATAAGCAAATCCTCTGGTTTTCACTCAATTCCAAACAGCATGTTTTACCTCTAATTTGAGAAAGAAATACAGCTCAATATACTACCCTTAAGAAGACTATAACCACAGGTATAAACCATCACAAACATTATCACAAGCTGGCTTAGGCTTTTTGCTTTGCAGTTACTTAGGTCAGAAGTGTATCTATCACCAGTTATTCCACTAACAAGCAAGAAGTTGTACAGCTGTGCTCCTGAAACTCCATTGCTTCTGAGCATATATCCGTTTGAACTACCTTGCATTTGCTGCAGGCTTGAGGCATGCACACAGACGTTTACTGAAGTACACTTAAAAGAGTCATCCTGTTTGAGCAACAGAAGTGTTGCTTAAAACCTAAAGCGCTACAGCTGTCTGCCTCTCTGCTCTGGAACACCTGCAGCAGCAATAGCAGCAGGCTCCATGTTGCACCAGTCTGATTAGAACTAAATTTCACAAGACCAAGTGAAAAGAAAAGAACGTTTCTTTGTCAGTTTCTGAACGAGATGAAAATCTCACAGATTTGCAGACCAGATCAAAAATGTGAGGGATAATAAACAGAAATGATTAATCAGAAGAATTACTTTTTTTTTTTTTAAAAAGTGTCCTTTCATTGTCTAATAGCTCTGTCTGATCTCCACTAAGATTTGGACAATGCACAAACTATTGCTGCAGTCCTGGATTCTGATCATAAAGACACTACATTGTTTACTGTAATTGAAGTAATGCAGAGCTACTTCAATTAAGCTGTTTTTTTTAATTCTCAAGGCATTTACAATGCAACAATTTTGAGGTTTAGGAGTCCAGCAAGTTTTAGCTTTCTGTAGCTTCACTTTATGATTGCGTGTAATTGTTCAAGCTTCTGTTTGTAAAAAAGCAAACACAAAAAACAGTACAGTTTTCCAATCCTGACTGTGCCTGAACACCATTTCACAAGTTTGTGTTAAAGAGAAAAGAGGCAGAAGATGGCTTGCCAGAGCAGGCAATAGGCCAGTGCTTTAAAGACATCCCGCCCCCCCAATACCCATAGCTGAAATTGTATACTACCTTTTGGCCCGAAATTCAAAACACTAAAGTGATGGGTGATTTCAGTAACTTTAACAATACAATGAATGAGGGGACCTATCTATTTCAATGAAAAGGAAAACTTACAAGCCCAAAATTAGAAGGATTACAACATTTTAAAATCAAAAAAAATATATATATATACACACACCACCAAGGCATTAAGGAGACAAGTGAAAGGTCCGAGATAAATTAGACACTGACCACCTCCAAATATCCCCAGCCTTTTCTGCAGAAAAGTAACAGCAACCGCCTAGAAAAATGCTTCGTGACATCTGAACTAAAGCACTTATTTCAATGGCACGTTCTGTAAGGTTGTCTTAGAACATTACATACTCTGTGTTGAAAGAACGATGGGTCAAGGTACTTGTCAAATCGGTCTTCAAACTTCACATCCGACTTCTTCCATTTCACCTAAAGAGAAGAACTTGAATCTCATTCATTGCAGATACTCAGCTATAATCACACATAGAAACCCAGAACTTTTTTCATGTCATCTACTTCAGATTTCTCTTCAAATGTAATTTGAAGTCTGTCAAAAATAATGAACTGATGCTCCTAAAGACTGATATCTACAGATCAGACAGAATGAACATCAGCCACCTTGCCTCATGGATCTAATCTTCTCTCTGTATATGTTTAGGAACAAGGAAGAATCAGTCTTGCACTCCTCTGTTGTCAATGCCTCTACTAGATTAATCGAAGATGCAAACTTTCAGCTGTCAAATACAGCAAACTCGTCTCATGATCACAGCAAATGTTTTGTGCAGTATGAGTTTTCTTGAATCATCATTTCTAAGAATGCATTTAGTAAAACAAACACTGCCCCCCCCCCCCAAAAAAAAAAAACAAAAACTTAAAAGTACATTCATACAGAACTTCGACTGGTAGTAAACAGCTTGATGTATATAACCCACTTTTATACCAGCCCTTTGAAGAATCCAACCTGATTTGTCCAAGACTTCATAACAAAAGTTAGGGAAATAAAGAATTTCTAGATATGCTTAAGAAAGATGTGCTAGACAGCAGCGGTATTTTCCAAGCATTTTTGTCAGCAGTAAGTACACTTCCTTTTCTCACCAATTCCACGTGCTAACAGGACTGTATGGAAAAGAGCGTGAGGAGAATATTATCAGTGTTTCAAAGACTGAGCGTAACTTCCTCTACTGCTGCTCCCCCACTGCACCTGAGGTCTGTTTTGCTGCCATGCATTGAAACTGGTGTTCAGTGACATCTTCTGTACTCCCGTTGCCTGAATACAGTGCCCAAGAAAAAGAAAAGGAAGCAGCCCAGCAGAAGTGAGGGAGATGAAAAGAAATAAGGAGATTTAAAACATAAGATTTAAAAACAGATACTATACGAAAAATAAGGGCATAAACTGAGATAGAAGCTGGCTGGAAGGGAAACGCCTAAAAGGGATCAGGTTGAACCCTAAAAGACAGGCATTAAAATTTTAAAAGCTACAAGCTAAAAGCTGTAGCCTCAAAACTGTAAGACCATAGGATTCCGCAATCTATACCCTTCCATTGCCAATGAGCAACTCTGAAATCTGCCGGAAAAGTATGCATTTGTTCCCATACTATCAGCCTATTACTGCTTCCAGTTACTCCATTAGCTCCACAAAGAAGTGCTTAGGATTTGAAAGTCATAATAGCACCCATGAACAATGTGGTACTAATACAGTAGCACAAAGTTCAGAATTTTTGCAGGTTTGTTTCCTTTTGAATTTTTAAATTGCAGTTTCAGAAATTAAATACAAATCCACACTGAAGAAGATCACATTTTTCAAAAATGTGGAAAAAAATTAGGAAATATTAGAACTTTTACTTATCATGAAACCAGTGCAGTCTCCCTTAGGCATATCTTTTTTAAATGCACAATCAGAAATCATCTCTTCCAGCAGGTTGCTCTCTCACTCAGCATAAAAGAAAGCTTGTAAGTGTAGACCGAGTGCCCCTATTGGTCACCATGGTCCTGAGACAGATTAAAACCCCAAGACTCAAATATTATACTCACTTTTAGGTGTAATATTAATGTTATTCAGTTCAAATTACAGGCTTGTTCAAGATTAATGGCTCAAAAGGTTAACAGCTTTCAACTGCCCAGTGGTGCCAACAGAGACAGAAAGTAAAGTCTTGAGTACTGTATGCCAAAAATGTTTAAAGCGAATATCTAATGTTAATTACTTACAGCTACTCAGTACTGTCCACCTCAAAATACACAGAGTAAATGGACTCCACAATGCTGATGGCATTTGAAATAGAAAAACAAGTGCCACTACCATTTTTGCAGCAGAAAAAGGGAGAGTAGTGTGAACATAATTCCAGAAAGCACAGGTGAAAACAGTTACCTGCACTTCAAACCTTATGACTTCTCAGCATAAGAGAGATAATGGTGACAGGAATATCTTTGAAATAGAATCTTATGCTGACACCTACTCCTAACACACTGTAGGAAACCAATGGATTAAGAACTACCTAGGGGGTGTATACAAGTCTTGTAAACATATGAGAAGTGATGTGTTACAGATGAAGATGATAACAAAAATAAATAAGGAGGTTAAAAATAGTAACAATCCAACATCCCATATTAACAAATATGTTTATTCGTTACATTTTATCATAGCAATTCAATATAAAAGCAGAACACTTCAGAGAAAATACTATAAACAAAGCTATATAAATAAGACTAATTTCTACTGGAATTGCAAAAACAAAATAAACATTAACCCTACCAGACTGCAAAGTACAAAGGCTTATAGTGCGTTTTGCTCCTTGTTTCAGTTCAAATCAAGGGGGGGGGAGGGGGAGTAATATCATCTGCTATTTTATCTATGATGCAAACGTCACTGCTCTGAAGATTGAGAAAACATGTAGTTACTGTGGGGTCCTCAATACTTCTAGCCTCCGTACCTTTTTAGACATCTTCCTTTCCCAACTACATGTAGATTGCAGAAACTCCGGTTTGTTTGAAGCGTTTCAAAAAAATCATCATTTTACATTTACTGCTAATAAATCTAGCAGGCCAGTAATGAAAAACTATTTGAAGGTGTGACGATGCATCTTCCTCTAATATAGCCTGACGTATCAATACATAGACAGAATATGCAAGTCTAACTATTATTGAGGTATTTTACAATGTGGAGCTGCTTATTACAACACATACATCATCAAATTACTTACTGAATATGACATCTGGATTTTTGTGTTTGGTACCAATTTCACCTTTCCTTCACTGGTCAGATTCACATCCACAATTCTATTTCCATTGTAACCAATTTCAAGTTTTTTGTAAGTCCAAAGATAATAATCTTCCCCATTTTCATCTGCTTCTCCAACAATACCTGTACAGGAAATAAATTATGTTTAAAATCTAAGCATCAATTGCTGGCATGCTTTTCAAATATTCTGTGATTATTTTAAAAAATGTTTATTTTACAACAGTTTTAGCAGCTAAAAAAGCAAACACAGCTATAGTAGAAGAGAACACAGCCGACTTCACGTTCTTTTCAACTATGATACCTAGACTACACCTTTAATCCACAGGTATCCGCAAGAAGCATTCTGTAATGGTCTTTAAAAAAAAGGATGCAGCCATTAAGGGTTCAGAAGAAGCAGAAGTAACAATATTTTGTCTGATTTTATATAAATCTCCTATCAGGCAATCAACTAGCCAAATACAGATTTAAATTCGATGAACTCTTAGCCCCTAACCACACTCTTCCAACAACTTGTTCCATCTACTATCCCTTCACTCATTTTTCTTCCTCTTCAAAACTCTTCACTTTCATTCTATATTCTGCATTAACTGATTCCCCAAGACCACAGTTTTTGCTCTCATTTGCTCGTGTTTACGATGCTTGCCAAGAATCATAGTTCTCAGCTACTTTCTGCCTTACTTTTACTAAAAAATTCAGAAAGATACATGATGTACATGAAGATGCTGACTAATTCCATGATGGGAAACTGCTCAGATGCTCCTGAAGCATCAGTTAACTGAACTCAGAATTAGCTCGTGATTAAGTTTTTACTTTTTAAAAACTTATTACAAAATACTTAAGCTACAGAAAAATTCCAGGTAATGTAGTATGCTTGGGGAGGGGAGGTGCAGGGGAGGAGGCCAAGTGGAGCAGTCAGAGTTCATAGGCCACAAGCATTATTTTTTGTTATGTCAAGACCATCATACAGAGATGGCTCACAAGATGGAAAGTCACTAATAAAGCAGGACCCAGAATATGCAAAGATGGGGGAAGCAGGTGAAGGATATGAAATAGGGTACCACAAAGAGCAGCTATGTGAAAGAATGACACCTGTGTATTACCAGTCCTTTTAATTTTCAAGGAGGTATTTTTCTGTCATGTTTTTTTACTCATGCTCATCTGTCAGAATTGCCTTATGCAATTCTCCATGCACGAGAGAAACTTGCCAGTTCGTGCCTCTGCCATACAGCCTGACACCTGGCCTACCATCTGTTCCCATGGTGTTATCCAAAACGGTGGCAATCCAGACCTCTACGCTGCGTAAAGGGCATTCTGATCAGTCACTACCTGAAAGAGTGAATTACAGCAAGGTTCCACACAGTTAAGGAGATGGGCTGAAACAGAGACACTCAAGCCCAGACACTTCACTGTGGACTAGCAATTCTGGAGAAAAAAGAAAATGGAATCGTTTTACCTGAATAAACCTAAAAAGATTTGCTTGCCTTTTAAGCTCAGAAAATAAAGTGCAATCCTTCCAACAGCAGTTTGAAGTCATTACCTTTACTTATTAACAGTCAAGAAAAGGTATTTTATGCCTGGACTGTACTGAAAGTAGAGCACTCCTCACTGGATATTTTGAGGACTTTCTAAAGAAATTTTCAAATATTAATGGTTGCATGCATGTCATTTGACCTTGACATTAGTAAGCCATACCCTGGTGGAAAGCCACGAAAAACATAAAACACGAACATAACTGAAGTTTGCCAGAAGACAGCAGAAGTGTCGCATATACATCTGGATGAGCCCTCAAGTTCAGTTACCAGTTATCGAGAGAAGTGGTCTGCTTTTAGAACAAAACTAAGCACAAGTTGCCTAGAGTTCTCAGCAAATAGCAGCACCATCTGAATCCTTTTTTTTTCCTCCAGAAAATACTTACTTTCTTCTGATAATATAAAAGAGGACTCTACCCATTTAGGGGACAACGTTTTAGTTTATCCAGCTGTGAAACACAAACCAACAATTAAAAAAACAAGGTGCATTAGATGACAGGGTACATATAACATATGCTTGCTAGTGGATAAATAACCCAAATGAACTGAATCAGTAGGACAACTTATGCGTAATAATAAAAAAAGCTAATTCAACACAAGACACCTTTTATGGTAACCAAAGGTAACCCGTTCTGAGCGTTATCTTGAACATCACAAACACAGCTTCTCAGTATTCAAAGTCAGGTGCGCTATTACTAAAGTTCCCACCCCCCTGTATTTTTAGAAGTCCTAATATTTTTCATTACAGTTAGTGAAATTAATGACTATACAACACTACATTGTGCAGAAGACACTAATTTTCACTAGTATTTCTACTACCACATTAGCTGGTACTAAACAAGTTTATACAATACAGTTGAAAATACTAACAGGTTGGAAGAGCCGCATCTACCACATCACTCATACTGTTCTCATACAGAAATACTTACTATAGAAAATGTTCTGGGAGCAGCAAATCTCAGAATCAAATTTGAGACAGCATTCACACTGAAACACTCCTTTCGCTGAACAGAGATGCAGCCAAACCAGGACTGACACAGGTAAGCCCATGTCATCATTTTCCAAATTGTAAGTGAACCCACAGCTCAGAACATTCTGATCTGCAGATAAACACTTCTGATCGGCTCAGGATCAAAGCATCCACTCCACTCCTAGTCCTCCATCAAGAGCTGGTGAATCTTGTGGCTAATATGGACTGACCAACCTGGACTCCCATTAGTTCTAACTAGCCCTCAGGAGACATAGAGCAAAATTGTCAGCACTGCTTGCTTCTACACATGATGCCAAAGATTATATTTTTGCATCTATTACCAGTACTTAAGATGCCACATTCATCTATTAATTGTCAGAACATGGGGTCCTGGTTCCAAATAAAATTATCAAAACCAGCCTCTTATGCCACATAGAAGAGACATAGAGTCTAAATGTTTGTTAGCTGTAGGAATGACTTCTTGTGCATACAAAGCATGCTATTGGAGAACATTAAAGACACTGGAATCACAGTACTGATTTTTCACCTCAGAGCATAAAATGTGGTCGGGGGTAAAAGATTCAGTAATTAAAACTGTTCTTCAGTATTTGAGGTGAAACACAAAATCCTCCCAAAAGAGATTAGAAAAGTCAGTCCTAAAAAAAAAAAGTCTCCAGTAACAACTAGCACAGACAAGATACTGAAGAAGCCAACTAAGCACCCGTCAACACTCTACAGTCTAAAGGCTACGTAGCTGCTGCTAGTGTTGGAAAATCACTCGTGGGTCTTTTTCTGAAAGGCCAGAAGCATTAAAAAAATTGTAGCAACAACTGTCACTCATGGATGCTTTCAAAAAGCCTACCAGCATTTGCAGAAGTGGTATAGTAAAGGCCACACAGATTAATTAGGGTCTACTCCCAGCTCTGCCACAGAGCTGTTACACACACACTAAACAAATCAACTAATAAAAACGAATGCAATATAAGAGTACGTCTCCCACCAAACATTATAACATATCCCTTGAACACAGATACGCAAAAGATAAAGAAAAACTAAGGAAGCAAGAGCCTTCCTTATGAACAGATAAAATCCAACAGCTCATTTCAGCATCAAGTTACTTTCTGAGAACAGCTAAAATTTTAAGAAAGAGGTAAAATATTCTGTCAGAATGAAAGAGTGATGGGCAGCATCATTCAGCATATTACCTATCAAAGGACTCCTGGCAAGTGGCTTGAACTGAAATTTTGTATGTATTCTGGGGGTTTGTATACTCTGGGATTTTATACCTCTTTCTCGGAACACAGGCAAAGACCTTATATGAACAAAATTTTTGGTGCTTTTCCTTTCCCTTCAATTTGTATCTAGTTCTACAACAGAGAGGTTAGGATTTGAGGGTTTTGTTTAGTATAAGCCGAAGTGCAATCTGCACAACATACATATTCAATACATGATTACAGGGTACAACAGAGTGACAAAAGTCACAGAGAGCATAGGAGAGCACTGTGATAAGGACATATTTTTGATTCAAAAAGCAAGCATTTTTAGACTAGATTAACACTACTCAGCAAGAGCAAATTTCTAAAGTAATCTTATGAACCACATAGGAAAAAGTGAAATAAAACTACTGGATAAAATGACAGACTATACAGGCAAAAAAGTTAAAAGTCACTAAATTACCATAAAAGTAAATCAGAAGACCTTTGTGTTTATTAATAAACTCAAAAACTATCATTATAAAGCTGAAACAATGAAAGAGGCTTACCAAGATTTTAGTCATGAACACATTGACAGAGACCTCGTATCTGACCTCCTGTACCTACTTATCACTTACTTGAATATTTAAAAGAAGAATTTAACCCTAAGAGCTTAGTATTATTAAAATCATGCTTGAGAAACAAAAAAGGTTTTCATTGTTTTTGTAATTCAGAAGTATAAGTCATTGAACTGTTCTTTCAACACAATTATCCTTCAAGTCATTTCTATTATTTGCTTACATAAAAGTTCAACATACATACTTGTAATATTCTTCTAAGGAATTGCAGTCATTAAGTGAAATGAATCCATGAAACCCACAAGCACAGCCACCCACCTCTGTGACTGGTGATCAGTCAAGTTGTTAACGCATGCCATCACTCACCCCATATCGGCAAGTCATCGATATACATCTGGTACCAATAGTGATTTTTGATAGCATACACAAACGCGTCTCTTCTTCCTTTGTCCAAGTCAATTTCACAGTACGTGGTCTGCATTACATCATCTGAAAAAAATTAAAGCACTGTTAATGATTTACTAACGAGCTCAGTCTAAATGAACAGAAACCAAGGGCTAACACACATTTCTGGAGTCTTTAACCCCTCTTGGTTCTATATCTTCAAGTAGGTAACAGAAAGGAACGTTTTAAAAAGGAATCACTAAAGCAACTTAATGTTCCTATAATTCTGGCCTTCAATATGCACAAATTTCCCATGGCTTGACAGGCAGGGCTGCAAAGTATCCTTTTGCTGCTCCACCCACAGAAGTTTAAGATGCATTTGCTGATGACAGCTTCATCTGGACAGCCTAAGTGAGGACCCATTTAAAGTCAGTGACAAGCTAATACCGGCAGCTGTTTGTGAAGCCCACCTGCTCTTAGAAAGATCTGCAGAGCATGAGAACTCTTATGTTGCCGAGAGGTATGAAATTAATAGCAAAACGTTTAAGACGTTAACTCTTCATCTTAGTTTTTCCAGGCTCTTTGACTGCCCCTGTTGTCACCAGGAATACTATTCTCCTTAAAAAACACACTAAACACCCCCCTCCCCTTAAAGTTCTGAGCTATTCTCAAGCAACAAGCATAAAAGGAGGAAACAAAACATACAGAACCAAGAAAGAAAACAAAAGTAGGTACAACACGAAAGAATGCACAAAAGGCTGCATTTGAAAATAAAATAAATTTGCCTCAAGCTAGACGGCTATTTTTCCCCCATCAACAACTCATAAGTAACGCAGTTAGCAGGCACGTATTCGTACCCCAATTTTATTACCTTATGTTTCCTTTTCAAGTGAAACAAGACAAAAGGGCACATTAAAAAAAAAAGCAGTAACACCTTTAGATTAAAAAAATTCACTTCTTGAGTGAATGTTTTCAGTCTCCAAACAATGAATAAAGCAAAAAAAAAAAAAAAAAACCCACACAACACTCGTTCTCTACTCCTGCTTGTCATCACTGAGATCTGTGACCCATTTCTAGCAGACAGCATTAATTTGTGCCCCATGTGCAGCTCCAGTTTGTGCCCAAACTCAGCTTACTTGAACTCTTCCACACATTAATCACACTCTAAAGCTTAAAAAGAAAATGAAATGGCCTGCACAGAAAAAGCACAGATAAGTAGAATATTTTCAACACAAAACACTCTCTCTGATAACATCTGTTTCTCAACATGAAAGTATGCACACAATCTCTGGACAAGCAAAACTAAAATAGAGCCCAGTGAAGCAAGACAGCAGGAAACCCGCTAAAAGCAGTCCTGCATAGCTGGAGTGACTTCCTATAGCCCTGGACTAGATGCATGTCTTATTCCCTGCGAAAAACTTCAAATTTTCTTTTTTTTTTTTTTTCCTTCTCCTTCAAAGACCTAATGAAAGCACACTAAGCTTCATTTTCACTTTAAAAAAAAAAAATCACTTTTCAGATTGACTTCTTAGATAATAAACATTTTGCTGTTCTGAAGTCACTTAGAGGCTGGGAAGAGAGAAAAACCAAAACTGTTCAAGTCAATATCCTGAAGGTCCTGAGAAGGCAATTAGATCACAGAGTACATCTTCAAGATCTGTACTGGTCCAAACAAGAGATGAAAGGCATTAAATTGGCATCATTACTGAAACAAACACGTACAAAACCAAGCCTCAGTTGCATCCATTCATGCCTGTACTGAGCTGGATCCTGTATTTTTTGGACTATGCTCACAAAAAACGCCTCTACTTTCTTTCCTTAACAGATCTTTTTGAGTCATCTTGGCATTAACTACAAAAGAAAAAAAAAAAGGGAAAAGAAAAAGGCAACTGAAGCCCCTGCCTTCTGGATTTGTTGCTAAGTAGGGAATTAACTCCCAAATACTTGGCACTTCATTACCGTTCTTTGACAGTTTCATACTATACTCAAATAACGTCTTTATAACATTAAGACGTTTACTTATGAGGGATGCTTCAACACATAGAGGTTAAACTAAATAATTATATTGTGAATTAAAATAGTAGTAAAAGTACTTAAGATGATAATCTTGTAGAATCTGTTAAATGAAGCATTACATTCTGGCACAGCACAAAAGTCTGGTCTGAGGGCAAGGGGGGGGGGGGGGGGGT